TGATCATGTGCGTCATAGTCATCTATTCTTCATATATGAGTAATTTCGCTTTTCACTCGGATCCCTTTTCTTTGGCAAAAGTTCTTACTTCTCAAACTGTATAATCACGAGTCACAACACTTTGTTTTACTAGACTTTTGTTTGTTTTTTGAACTCGAGTTTGTTTGACCAAAAATATAGATCTTGGTTCAATCAATTATATTTAAATAAAGAAGAGTTAATTTTAGTTAAAAATAATATCCTAAAGGTAAAGCTATCGGTGTTATGATAAATAACTAGTATATTTGTCCGGATGGCAACGAATAGAAGCAATAATAACAGTATTTAATGATCCAAAAAGATGGAATATGACATTAAATAGTAATAAATGGCAATTAAGTAAACAAAAACGTGTGAGTCACCCGAAAATGGATGAGATCAGTGGATATTCTATCTGACAATGACGAATGATTGATAAGCCTTTGAACACTTAAGTTGTTCTTGGATCCGGTGAAAATGCTAGACAAGAATCTTAGTAAAATGTTGTTTTTGTATGCTTGCAATAGGATCAGATTCTCTCTATAAAGTCAATGTATTTTTTTACAAATGAATATCTCATGTCCTCTACCATTATGTCACTTTCTATTTATAGGGAACATATTCCTAGAAACCTTAATAGTACATGTGCAGAGAATATCCACTAAAATATTCTCTTTTATGTCTTATCTTAGAACTAGCTGTTATAACTCTGTCTAAGATGCTCGACCTCGACCTTGAACTACGATGACTTCACGACCTTGATCTTTGTTGACTCTTCGACAACACCCTTCATCGCTTCGAGACTATTTTGCCCTGGGGCCGATCTTTGTAGGTACCTTACTGATAGCACGTGGTAGTCGATGAAGACTATAATGGTGTTGAAGTGGCTTGTCTATATCAAATATATTTTTTGGCCCATACAGTTAGTCCCTCCGCTTATCAAGATTGTCCTAGCGGGTGAGGTCAATGACTGGATAGTGCCGTTTGTGGTCTAGATTACCGAGCTGGCTATACAGGTCGTGGTCGTCGTAATCATCAGGCAATGTGGCTTTCTGATGACCGCACATTTTGAATTCTTCGAATTTTCCCGGAAAGTCTGTTGGAACCATCTGGTCCAAGAGAAAAAGCGACGTAATGATGTCATGTGTCATGATAACGCCGTTTCCCGACGTGTTGCGTCAATTCACGTGTGACCCTTGATTGGCTCTGTCATTTAGATCTTTGTGCTAATCATGGCATGTCGTTTCGATTCTGGTGCCCCCAAGTCTTATAAATAGGGGGTTGTTTTTGGATTTTGAAACTTTTCCACACTCCTTCTACTTCATAAGCTGAGCTTCTTCTTATTCGCAGAACCCTTTTATCTCTAGACGTTGTTTTTCTGACTAGGGGAAGATGGCGGAGCCACCATTGAAGAGGAAACCCTTCATACTGTAGAGAAAATCGTACCTCCAAACCCCGAGGCTAAACTCGATTTTCACAAGGCGCCGAAAGTGGTGACGGGGAGGTTTGAATCAATGATGGCGGTTGAGCGATTAACCCGAATTCAAGGCTAGGCTCGGCTTACCTGGTCACGTGGAGTAGGTCCCTGCGGGCGACGACGAAGTGCAGGTCCATCGTCGCGGTTTCTGCGCCCTTTACGCGTATCCGTTCATCATCGACTATTCGTTCCCCTTGCCACCGTTGATAGAAGAGTTATGCCGCTACTACAATTTGTGCCCGACGCAGCTTCCCCTTATATCTTTAAGGTGATTTTGATATTGATGAAATTCGTTGAATTGGCCAACGTTGACATAACAGTGCGCCACCTGATTCACCTCTTCGCCCCTTATTTCTACCGAGGGACGTTGCTGAACCTTCGCCATCGTGGGAAAAAAAATTTGGTGGTGAGGATGGATGACAAGATTAGTTGGGTTTTTTCGCTCGATTATTTCTTTATTAGGACGGAGGTTGTAGTATCCGCTGCCGCAGGCTTCCCTGAGGCTTGGAACCCTACTCGTAAGTGCTCATACATGTTTAAATATTCTTTTAGTTTTCGATGTTTTCTTTACTGTGGGTTGGTTAACCTGCTTTTCCCTTTTTGTAGCTACTGCTCGACCTTTCCAGATGGTGACCCACATTGCCGATTGGGTTAGACAGATTCTTCCTCATACGGTGGGGATACGTGATTGGTCGAGTTTTTCTAAGAGATTCTGGTCATCTCTTCCCTCGGTAGGTAACCTATTCTTTACCGTTGACGTCGTGGTTTCTTCGCATACGTCTGTTGCCTTTACTGATTACTTCCTTTCTCATTTTTCTTTAGCTTCGGTCAGGGGGTCTACGAGGAGGTCGAGATCTCCCACGCCCTCATTCCGAAAGAGGAGGGTCGTTGCGCCTTCAGTCTCTGCCCCTGCCTCGACTATGACCGCTCCTACCTTCGTTCCAATTCCACTCGTCGCTACATCCGCCTCTGTTTCTGCTCCGGTCGTTGATACTTCTGCCCCTCCTCTATATTCACTCATTGACGAGGACGATGGGCATTTGCCCAGCGACAGAGATCTTCAACTTCGAAAGAGGAGTCCTGTGGATGTGGGTAATGGAGTCACTCTGGCCATTGACTTGGCGGAAAGGGACTTTTCGTTGCATAAGAAAACGATAATTTTTGTTAGTGATGACGTTGAACCGAGTCTCGAGGCTCCGAGGCCAATGGAATCCGATGTAGGCATGTCTTTTCATTCCAAGGGGATGGAGACCGAAGGGGCGGCTGCTGGCGACCTTGACCTTTCGCGGTGAGAAGAGGCTTCAACCTCTCAGACAGCCGTGGATACTTCTTTGCCTGCCGATGATAGGGGTAAAAGTATTACTGAGGAGGGCGTCGAGTCAGGTTTCGATGTGGACATAGACGACCTGAGAATGATTGAAGAGGGTCTTACCCATCTCGAGGTGAGGTTAGAGGGGGGCTCGAGGACTATCACGATCCTTATGGATCGTGATTTGTTGGTGAACACTGAGGAGGTAGTCTCGACCCTCAGTCCTCTCTGTTCCGATGTTGAGGGTAAGACCCTTAAGGAGACAAATGATGGTGCCTTGTCGAGGAGCATTGCTGGTCTCGCTCTTAGGGTGAGTATCTCTTATATGAATTATTTTCCAAATTTTTTAGAACATTCTAAGTTCTAACCTTTTCCTTTTCTTTTTTGGTTTGCAGACGGTGATTTTAGAAATTGAGAGTGCCCAGAGGGAGAAAAAGGCGCAAAGAGATCTTCGTGAAACTAAAATATAAGTATCTTGAGTATTGTGGCAAGTATCGGGATCTCTGTAGTCAGTTTGCGAGGGCGGCAATATGCGGGCCCTGAGGGAAGATCTGAAGAAGAGGGACGAGGAGGTGGTGCAGGCCATCGAGAAGTGCAGCATCCTCGAGGGTACGTTGAGAAGTAGGGAAGAAGAGCTTGAGGTTAATAGGGGCGTAGAGGCCTAATGCAGTGATCTTCAAGTTCAAGTGGTTGAATTGCGAGGGCAGCTTGAAGAGTGCCGGTTTCAGTTGGAAGCCCTCAACGGCGAGGTTGCCGAGAAGCAGGAGGAACTTAAGAAGGCGGAGTCTTTTTATTTGGATGCTCGGAGGAAGGCAAAGATGTTCGAGTTGGCGAATAAAAATCTTCAAGCCAGTCGAGAAAATGATCAATCGACGGCGAGAGCTAAGGAGGACCAGGTCGAGGAGAGTATCGGGGAGCTGGAGAAAGACAACTTTGTCCTTCATGATCGAGTGACCACTCTAGAGGCCGAGAAGGCTGAACTGCTTGCACGGTCATCCTCTTCCAACGCTTCTGATTTTCCCAATGTACCTCGGGAGTTATAAGTGGATCCATGTCGAGGCCTGGTTAGATGTGTTTTAGGACTTTCACGCAGCAGGCTTTGTTCCTAAAGTTGCCCTTGAGGATGCCCGGGTTAAGGCTCATGAAGCTCGAGTCACTTGTGGATATGATCCCGCTATGACTTGACCTGACGAGGAGGATGGGGAAGAGGGGGTAGACCGTCTTGAGGAGGATGCTTGGTATGATACCGTTTATCCTCAGGGCAAAGGTGGTGAGGATGCCGGGGACCGAGGCGGCGAGGGTCAGTAGTTTTTCTCTTAGACTTTTTTGTGTATTTTTGTCGGCATCTTTAAGGGCCCTTGTATTGAACTCTTTATTTGTTTAAATGTGGCTGAGGGCGGATAGGTGTCGTTTGAACTTGGTCGAACTTAACCTTTTATTAGTATGCGGCCGAGGGCCGATAGGTGTTGTTCGATCTGGGTCGAACTTAACCTTTGTTTAGGTGCGGGCGAGGGCCGATAGGTGTTGTTCGAGATGGGTCGAACTTAACCTTTTGTTAATCGCGTCTGATGGGCGATAGGTGATATTCGAGTGAGGTTGAACTTAACCTTTTGTTAATCGCGGCCGAGGGTCGATAGATGTTTCTGATAAATGTAAGTTTCTTATTACTTTGACGTTGTTGCTATGATTGCATGATTGGAGAAAGTTACAAATTTTGGGTATTGGATGACGTTTCAGTCCTAGTCTCAGCATATCTAGTCCCTTAATTGCTTGACTTGGAGAGTATGGAGGAGTCAGGCAATGAATAAGAAACACAGTCCCTCCCTCGCATACTTCGGCTCGAAGTGTCCCATTTGTCGCCTCGTTAAAAACCAACTTGAGAAAACCCTAATGGAAAAAAACTCAAGTGAGGGAAAAAAGAGTACGACTCGGGGACACTTCTTCCTTTTAGAAGTTGAAGTATTTGAGGTGGCTGATGTTCCAATTGTTCGGTAATTGCTTTCCTTCCATTATGTCTAATTAGAACGGACCCTTGTTTGCTTTGGCTATAATTTTGTATGTGCCGTCCCAGTTTGTTCCCAGCTTGACTTCCCATGGGTCTTAGCTCGCTTGAGTTTTGGCTTTGAGTACGTAGTCCCCGACTTTGAGCGGCCGGACCTTTGCTTTCTTGTTGTAATAACGTTCTGTTGGCTTCTTTTAGGCGACCATCCTTATGTTCACCATATCTCTTCGTTCATTGATTTCATCGAGTTCCTGCCTTTTACTCTCATCATTACTAGTACCGCTTTCGTAGGAGTACTTTAGGCTGGGTTCTCCGACTTCGACTGGTATGACTGCCTCGGTCCCATAGACCAAAGAATAGGGTGTTTTTCCTGTGCTCATCTTCGGAGTAGTTCTATACGCCCATAATACTTGTGGCAGTATCTTCAGCCACAGTCCCTTAGCGTCTTCAAGCTTTTTCTTCATGATGTTTAATATGGATTTGTTAGAGGATTTTACCTGTACGTTACCCACCAGGTGATACGAGGTTGGAAGTATCCTCTTAATATACCATTTCTCGAAGAATTCGACGATTTTCTTTCCCGTGAACTGGGGTCCGTGGTCGCAACTGATCTCCTTGGGTAGGCTGAATTGGTTGATGATGTTTCTCCATATAAAGGTGATTACCTCTTGTTCGCGTATTTGGGCGAACGCTTCTACTTCCACCCATTTAGAGAAAGAGTCAGTTAAAACCAAAAGGAACCGTACATTACCTCGCCCTGCTAGAAGGGGACCCACGATGTCCATTCCCCACTTGATGAACGACCAAGTAGAGGTGACTGAGTAGAGGTGTTCGCCTGTTTGGTGAATTATTGGGGTGTACTTCTGACATTGTTCGCATTTCTTCACAAACTCTGAGGCATCCTTTTTCATGGTGGGCAATAGTATCCTGCCCGTATGAGGCACATGATGAGTGCTCGATTTCCGGAATGAGCACCACAATGGCCTTCATGGACTTCTTCGAGGTCGCACTGGATTTGGTTTGGGCCAAGCATTTCGCCAGAGAGCCACCGTATGTCCTCTTGTACATGTCGCTATGGAGGAGATTGTATCTGGTTGCTTGCATTCGTAGTTTCTTGGCTTCCTTTTTGTCGTTTGGGAGTGCACCATCCTGCAAATAGGCGATAATACGATTGCTCCAATCCCAAGTTAAGCTTACAGATCTTACCTCGATTTGGTCTATCGATGAGTTGAGGAGGTGGACTACACTTTTATCCCCGGTCGTGATGCTTTTGGTAGCTGCGGCCAATTTGGCGAGGCCTGCGGCCAATTTGTAACTTTCTCCAATCATGTAATCAGAGCAACAACGTCAAAGTAACAAGAAACTTACGTTTATCAGAAACATCTATCGACTCTCGGCCGCGATTAACAAAAGGTTAAGTTCGACCCCGCTCGAACAACACCTATCGCCCCTCGGCCGCGATTAACAAAATGTTAAGTTCGACCCAGCTCAAACAACACCTATCGGCCCTCTGCCGCACCTAAACAAAGGCTAAGTTCGACCCAGCTCGAACAACACCTATCGGCCCTCTGCCGCACACTAATAAAAGGTTAAGTTCGAACGACACCTATCGGCCCTCTGCCGCACACTAATAAAAGGTTAAGTTCGAACGACACCTATCGGCCCTCGGCCACACCCAAACAAAGATTAAATTCGACCCAGCTCGAATGACATCTATCGGCCCTCAACCACACCTAAACAAAGATTAAGTTCGACCCAGTTCGAACAACACCTATCGGCCCTCGGCTACACATAAATAAAAGGTTAAGTTCGACCAAATTCGAATGACACCTACCCGCTCTCGGCCACACTTTAACAAAGGTTAAATTTCGAACCAGCTCGAACAACATCTATCGGCCCTCGGTCCATGATTTAAGGAAAGGTTAAGCTCGACCGCGCTCTTGTAACACCTACCGGCCCTCGGCCACAACTTGGCAAATGATCAAAATCAACCAAGTTCAAACAACACCAATAAACCAAATCTAAATAAAAAAGCACACCCGACCTATATAAACAAAGGGCAGACACGACCCATAAATATTCGCCAACAAGGCTACAACCAACTAGAAGACAACAGCCATAGAATGAGCAGAAATCATAACAAGCAAACAACAAAAGCAAAGTACACAAGTGCTGAAACAAGTAACAGGTATGGAAGAAAGCGTAGAAAATAACTTATACATTTATACACGAATAAAGAGTTCATTACAAGGGCTCTTAAAGACTCTGACAAAAATACACAAAAAGTCTAAGAGAAAGACTACTGGACCTCGCCGCCTCGGTCCCCGGCATCCTCTCCACCTTCGCCCTAAGGATAAACGGTATCATACCAAGCGTCCTCCTAAAGGAGGTCTACACCCTCTTCCCCATCCTCCTCGTTAGGTCGAGGCATAGAGGGATCATATCCATAAGTGACTCGAGCTTCACAAGCCTTAACCCGGGCAGCCTCAGGATCAGGGCCCACTGCGTGCAAGTCCCGAAACACATCTAACTGGGCCTCGGCATGGATCCACTATTCATATAACTCCAGATGTATATTGGGAAAATCAGAAGCATTTGAAGAGGACGGATGTGCAAGAAATTGAGCTGTCTCGGCCTCTAGAGCGGTTGCTCGATCATGAAGGACAGAGTTGTCTTTCTCTATCTCCTCGATCCTCTCCTCGAGTCGTTCCTCCTTAGCTCTCGCTGTTGATTGATCATTTTCTTGCTCGGCTTGAAGGGTCATATTCGTCAACTCGAACATCTCCGCCTTCCTCCGATCATCCAAACGAGAGGACTCCGCCTTCTCAAGTTCCTCCTTCTTCTCGGCAACCTCGCCGTTGAGGGCTTCCAACTGAAACCGGCACTCTTCAAGCTGCCCTCGCAATTCAACCACTTAAGTTTGAATATCACTGCATTAGGCCTCTACGCCCCTACTAACCTCAAGCTCCTATTCCCTACTTCTCAACGTCCCCTCGAGGATATTGCACTTCTCTATGGCCTGCACTAGCTCCTCATCCCTCTTCTTCAGATCTTCCCTCAGGGCCCGCATATCGCCACCCTAGCGAAACCGACTACGGAGATCCCCATACATGCCATGGTACTCAAGATACTTATTTTTCAGTTACACAAAGATCTCTTTGCGCCTTTTTCTCCCTCCGGGCGCTCTCAATTTCTAAAATCACCAACTGCAAACCAAAAAAGAAGAGAAAAAGGTTAGAACTTAGAATGTTCTAAAAATTTAGGAAAAAATTCGTATAACAGATACTCACCCTAAGAGCGAGGCCAGCAGTGCTCCTCGACAAGGCACCATCATTTATCTCCTTAAGGGTCTTACCCTCAACATCGGAACTGAGAGGACCGAGGACCGAGACTACCTCCTCAGTGTTCACCAACAAGTAGCGAGGCCAGCAATGCTCCTCGACAAGGCACCATCATTTATATCCTTAAGGGTCTTACCCTCAACATTGGAACTGAGAGGACCGAGGACCGAGACTACCTCCTCAGTGTTCACCAACAAGTCACGATCCAAAGGGATCATGATAGTCCTCGAGCCCCTTCTAACCTCACCTCGAGCTGGGTAATCCCCTCTTCAATCATTCTCAGGTCGTCCACGTCCACATCGAAACTTGACTCGTCGCCCTCCTCGGCAATACTTTTACCCTTATCATCGGCAAGAAAAGAAGTATCCGCGACTGTCTGAGAGGTTGAAGCCTCCTCTCGCCGCGAAAGGTCAAGGTTACTAGCAACTGCCCCTTCGGTCTCCATCCTCTCAAAATGAAGAGACAAGCCTACATTGGCTTCCACCTGCCTCGGAGCCTTGAGACTCGGTTCAACGTCATCACTCACAAAAATCATCGTTATCTCACGCAACGATTCCGCCGAGTCAACGGCCAGAGTGACTCCATCACTCACATCCACAGACCTCTTTTTTCGAGGTTGAAGATCTCCATTTCTGGCCAAATGCTTATCATCCTCGTCAATGAGTGAATATAGAGGAGGGGTAGAAGTCTCAACGACCGGAGCAGAAACGGAGGTGGATGTAGCTACGAGTGGAATTTGAACCAAGGTAGGAGCGGTCATAGTCGAGGCAGGGGCAGAGACTGAAGGCGCAGCGGCTCTCCTCTTCCAAAACGAAGGTGTAGGATCCCTTGACCTCCTCGTAAACCCCCTGACCGAAGCTACAAAAAATGAGAAAGGAAGAAATCAGTAAAGGTTACAGACATAAGCGAAGAAACCACGGCGTCGACTGTTAGGAATAGGCTACCTGCCGAGGGAAGAGATGGCTTGAATATCTGAGAAAAACTTGACCAATCACGTATCCCCGATGTATGAGGAAGAATCTGTCTGAACCAATCGGCAATGTGGGTCACCATCTGGAAAGGTCGAGCAGTAGCTGCAAAAAGGGAAAAGCCAGTTAACCAACCCACAGTAAGGAAAACATTGGAAACAAAAGGATATTTAAACAGGTATGAGCACTTACGAGTAGGGTTCCAAGCCACAGGGAAGCCTGCGGCGGCGGACACTACAGCCTCCATCCTGACAAAGAAATAGTCGAGCCAAAAATGCCGACTAACCTTGTCATCCATCCTTACCACCAATCATTTCCCCCCCACGGTGGCGAAGGTTCAGCAACGTCCCTCAGTAGAAATGAGGGATGAAGAGGTGAATCAGGTGGTGCACTGTTATGCCAACGTTGGCCAATTCAGTGAATTTCGTCAACATTAAAACCACCTTAAAAATATAAGGGGAGAGCTACGCCATGCACACGTTGTAGTAGCGGCATACTCTTCTATCAACGGTGCCAAAGGGAACGAATAGCTGATGATGAACGGATACGCGTAAAGGGCGCAGAAACCGGGATAATGGACCTGCACTTCATCTTCTCCTGCAGGGACCAACTCCATATGACTAGGTAGGCTGAGCCTAGTCTTGAATTTGGTTAATCGCTCAACCATCATCATTGATTTAAACTTCTCCGTCACCTCTTCGGGCACTTTGTGGAAATCGGGTTTAGCCTTAGGGTATCGAGGTACGATCTCCTCTATAGTAGGAAGGGTTTCCTCCTTTACGGCAGCTTTACCATCTCTTCCCTCGGTCCAGAAAAACAACGTCTAGAGGGATAGAACGATCTTCCATATGGATATCTGATGGTAGGTCCGACATTATTATGGAAAGGGATAGGGAATCAAAGAAAACAACAGTGAAATAAAAGGGTTTTCGAAGAAGAAGAAGAAGAAGAAGCTCTGCTTATGAAGTAGAAGGATTATGGAAAAGTTTCAAAATCCACAAGCCACCCCTATTTATAAGACTTGTGGGCACCATAATCGAAACGGCAAACCATGATTAGCATGAAAATCGAAACGGCAGAGCCAATCAAGGGTCACACGTGAATCAACACAACGAGTTGGAAAACAACGTCATCATGACGCATGACGTCATGACGTCACTCTTTCTCTTGGACCAGATGGTTCCAACAGACTTCCCGAAAAAATTTAAAGAATTCAAAATGTGCGGTCCTCATAAAGCCGCGTTGCCTAATCGTTACGACGACCACGACATGTATAGACAGCTCGATAATCTCGGGCACAAATGACTCTATCCACTAATCAATCTCGCCTACGAGGACGACC